TGCGCAAGGGGAAGTCTGTGGTGTAACGCGAGTAGTCGTCAACCACCAGCAGGAAGTAGCGCTCGTGACCCTGTCCACGGACGCGGGCCGGGCCCCACACGTCCATGTGAAGCGTCTGCAGCGGGGCCTCTGTCGGAGGAAACTGAGAGGAGTGAGGGGCAGCCCACTGCTGTGACAAAGTTTGAAGAAAGAAAGAGGGGATTGAACTAGCAAGAATGAGGATACAAATAGCAAACCCTAGAAGGGTTGTACTCGCTATAGAGCACCCCACTACAGGCTAGAACATAAGATAATATTCTGACATGCCGCCCCTCGACACAGGGAACGCAGGTAGGGCCAGGCCCCGGAAGAAGGGGAGGGAGGGACCGGGGAAGACCAGAGACAAGGACACGGGAGGCCATGCTTCGGAGACGAAGCAGGGAGGGGTGACCAAGGCGGTGGTGCCAGAGGAGAGTCTCGTGAGACAAGAGACGACACGAGCAGGGGGCAGACTCCGGACCAGACCTGGACGCTGCAGCAAACACCTGACCCGACGCAGCTACCTGACCAGACGCAGCTACCGGAGGAGACGCAGTGGTCAGCGTGTACAGGCTCGACCCCGGCCGACGTGTAAACGTGGCCAGGTGTCGGCCTGTCCGAGCGTCCGTGCAGTGGGTCACCCGCTGACTCGCAGGAGTGAACTGGTGAACCCTTGCATCCTGTAGGTCAGCACCACTCACCAAGTTCGTAGAGAACGAGGGGAGGTAAAGACCAGACAGGGTGCCAGAGGGGGTCGCCGGACACGGGAGGACAGCGGAGAAGTGAGCAAGGACAGGACCCCCAGAGGGGTCTGCCAGAGAGACTGCAACTGGCCGACCAAGCGGCGTGAGTGTGGTGCGGTCTCGAAAGAAGGAACGGGAAGCCCCCGAGTCAAGAGTGAAGGTGTGAGAGGCCGGAGCCGACGCGGTACCTGAGAGAGCAGACTCACCCGCACCTGAGGAAGCAGACTCACTAGCACCTAGAGCAGCAGCCGCACCTGGACCTGGAGCAGGAGACTCATTAGCACCCAGAGCAGCAGCCTCACCAGCAGCTAGAGCAGCAGGCTCTATACCCGGGTCAGGCGGTACGCACAGGTGACCGGCACGGTCAGCACTAGTAGGCGATGCATACATGGCAGTGAGAATAGCATCATAGTCAAGAGCAAATATATCTACCCTCTGCCTAAGCAACTCCACCCAGTCGGGGAGCTCAGCCTCGTTGCCAAACTCGGTACGCCAGGCGTTGCTCAGATGGGCGAAGCAGCGGGACTGCGTGTGACTAGGTGTCCCACAAGGCTGACCAATCCGAGCACCAGTGCGAATCACGTAAGAGCAACGAACAGAACTGAGAGACCCTCCACTCTGAGCGTACCACTCACGAAGCTGCTGGGGCGTGAGAGACGCGCGTGGGCGTCGCTGGAGCTGCATCTGGCTCCGCCAGTAGAAGCAGGAGCAGGAGTAGCAGCAGTAAGGCAGGCAGCCAAGCAAGCGGCAGGCAGCGCGCTAGTAAGGCAGGGGCTCACCAGTGGTGGGAAGAGCAGGCTCGACGACTCGGCGACTCGGCGACTCGGCGGTGCGGGCGGCTCGGGCGGCTCGGCGGCACGGCGGCACTGCAGCAATTGCGGCTCGGCGGCTCGGGCGACTCGGGCGGCTCGGCGGCCCGGGCGACTCGGGCGGCTCGGCGGTACGGCGACTCGGCAGCAACTGCAGCTCGGCGGCTCGGCGACCCGGCGGCTCGGGCGGCTGAGGTGGCGCTGCGGCTCGGGCGGCTCGGGTGGCTCGGGTGGCTCGACACTAGTCGGCGGTGACGGCGGGGCTGCTTGGGGACGGCGGCGGGGCCGGGTGGAGCGGTGACGGGGCCAGCAGAGGTGGCGCCGGGGCCGCAGGGTAGGCGACCGGGCCAGCAGAGGCGGCGCCGGGGCCGGGGAGGTAGGCGACGGGGCCGGGAAGGGTGGCGCCGGGGCCGGGAAGGGCGGCGTCGGGGCCAGCAGAGGTGGCGCCGGGGCCGGGAAGGGCAGTGCCGGGGCCGCAGGGGTAGACGACGGGGCCAGCAGAGGCGGGGCCGGGTCAGGAAGGGTTGCGTCGGGGTCGTCGGGGTAGGCGACGGGGCCAGTAGGGGTGGCGCCGAGGCCGGGAAGGGCGGAGCCGGGGCCGGGAAGGGCGGCGCTGAGGCCGCAGGGGTAGGTGACGGGGCCACTAGGGCGGCAGATCGGGGCCGCGAGGGCGGCGCGACGCGGCCGCTAGGGCGGCGCGACGGGGTAGCGGGGCCGCGCGCCTCGGGGCGCGCGCCAAAAAGAAAATCGCCGCGCGCCAACGGCGTGCGGCGAGATGAAAATAGGTCGCACGCCACGGGGCGTGCGACAGATCGAGTAGCAGCGGAAGCAATAGTAGGGCCCTAGGAACAGTTCCCACGAGGGAACCTGCTCGATACCATGTGAGTATGAACGAGAATGAAATGACTATGAAAGAGTTGGGTACAAGTACTAACCCTAATTGGGTTGTACCCCTTATGGGCTACCCCACTATAGCCTACACAATATGCATAAGCTATAATGTTCTGACAGCGGGAACGACGCGATCCTAGTCGTCGTCGATCGACTGACGAAAATGGCACATTTCGCAGCCGGCAAAAAAATCAATCACAGCCGAAGAAACAGCACGCCTCTTCATCTCCACCGTCGTTTGATTGCACGGGATACCAGCAGCAATAATCAGCGACCGCGACACGAAATTCACCAGCAACTTCTGGCGGAACTTGTGGTAGCAGTTTGTCACACGACTACAGTTCAGCTCTTCGTACCACCCCGAAACCGACGGATAGACAGAACGGACAAATCAGACCATGGAACAACTCATCCGAGCCACGTGCGACGACCCAACCACCTGGGAACAGCAACTGCCACTCATTGAGTTCGCGTACAACAATGCACCTTCTGCCACGACCCAGTAGTCACCGTTTTACTTGAACTACGGACAAGACCCGACAGTACCCATGACCCCGAATCCCGACAACCCAGTGCCACGTGCACAACACTTCGCCGAAATTTTACAAGCAGCACGGACCCGGGCAGCCGACGCCATAAAGAAATCCAACATCATCGCTAAACGTAATGCCGACCACCACCGCAGACCTGTCACTTACCAGCCCGACGATCTGGTTTTACTTGACACCCAGAACCTCCGCCTGCCCATCACCCCAAAACTCCGCCCCCGATACTGTGGACCATTTTGCATCAGCCACATGATCACACCCGTCACCGCCCACCTCCTCCTCCACGCCGACTGGTACGTCAGCCCCTCATTCCACGTCAGCCTGCTTCGCCCCTACATCCCGTCCACAAGCCAACTCCCACGTAATCGCCCAGCCAGCATGACACGACCGCCGACTGAACCAATCATCACCTCCGAGAAGATTCTGAGTCACAGAGTTCGCAACCCTCGGGGAGCCCGAAGGATCGAGTTCCTGATCCGCTGGAAAGACCGTACACCCACCGAGGACAATTGGGTTCCCCTGGACAGAATCAAAAACCACCCCGTCCTCACCGAGTATCTGCGCAGCCGAAACTTCAGGGATGTACACGCACTTTCGTGAGGAGGACCTCCTTAGGGGGGGGGGGGTAGTTGTCAGAATTATATTCTTATACCTGCATGTAGTTCTAGCTGTAGTGTAGATATGAACTTTATAGGTGGTGCACCTCCTTCTTCACTTGTTTGCTATATGTACTCTCTTGCTATAGTGAACACACATTCTCCTTCTCAACTCTCTCGATACTTTCCTTACCCTCGAACTCACTAGCCATGGCTCATAAGTCACGCTAGGATTTTATCAGTAGTATAAGGAAAATGATTTTTCCTTACTTAGCATCCCTGCTCAGCGCGTACATCACTGTAGCACCACAGTCAGCACCGTTACCACTCGCAACCCTCGCATCGACAATCCTCTCGCCACCTTCGCACGTCGCACCCCGACGTCACGGCTCGGCGGGTAACCCGCGCCCCGGGCCTCCGCTTCGACATTTTCCCCAACCTCAGTCCCAGGCCCGTCACACGACAACCACGGTCCATTATTGTTACCACTATAGTTTCGCTATATATTCTTCGCTCATGCCTTCGCTAATTGCACTCTTGCTTCGATAGTGCAATTCTCGCTCGTCTACTCAATTGCACTCGTAACATTATCCCATAGAAACATCAGTCAAGTGTATATGTTTAGGGCATGTTCCTACGCTCTTATCAGGCAAACCTCTTAGCGAGGGTTTTTGGGTTTAGGGATTTTTCAGTGTGTTTTGACGTGAGCTTGATAAGAGGTTGGCCTGATAAGGGGCCGTAGGAACATGCCCTTAGTCTAGAAATTCAGACAAGGGCCATTGTTTCATCTGAAAAATCAGACCATCTAAGATTGCTCGTATTTCCTTCAGACAAAATTTTTTCTCCAACTTTTTTTTTCAGACGGGCCAAAAACCTAGCCAGAGCCCTGCAGCCAACACTAAGCAGTACCTTTTCCACCAAAACCAGCTGGCAAGGTAAAAGACGACACATTAATGGAACCCACTGCATTCCCTCCTTTCAGAAGGGTTATCAGTTTTTCTGGTTCAAAGACTGGCGCCAGACAAGTCATGTTCTGACACACGTAGGCTGCTGACGTGGCACTTGACATGACGCCAGCAGGCACTGCCGCCTCTGCAGCCGACATATCACCCAAGCCCTTGGCAGCCATTGCAAGGGCACGTGGGTTGTGCTGCTGCCAGAAGGCAGCGTCTGATTGGTTGGCAGGATCGATTGGTATAATCTGGGCAAGCAAGCAAAAATGAAGAACGGAGGAAGGAGTGGGCGGGAGGAGGGAGGGGGGATCAGGGGAAGGCTGTACAGCGATAAAAAGGGCATGCAAATTGATCAAGTAAGGCATAGAATAAAAAATCATCTTAATTAATCCACAGAGTCCACGTAATCCCCCTCCACACCCCATACAGACATTCCCCTTACAGTGCAATTCGGTTGAAACACGGAAAACACTCCATTCAGCAGCGCCTCGGTTTCAGAAGCGTCCCTCGGGCCAGCAATGATGACCTGGCGCTGAGCTGGCGATGACGTGGCAGCGAGAAGATCCAGCGAGCAGCACATCTGGGGTAGCGCGAGCGGCATGCGGGAAAGACGGTCCTCAAAGGCCGTCTGAGGGGGTTTGGTTCGGTGGGGGAAGGAGTGGGAGAGAGAGCGGAGGGTAGGGGAGGAGGGAGGAGCGTCAAGAAAGAACAGCAGCACATCTGGGGTAGCGTGAGCAATGAGGGAGAGATGGTCCTCAAAGACCATGTAAGATTGGGGGAAGTGGGTGACAGGGTCGAGGAGGGGAGGGGAGGGGAGGGGAGGCGAGGGGAGGGGAGGCGAGGGGAGGGGAGGCGAGGGGAGGGGAGGCGAGGGGAGGGGAGGCGAGGCGAGGGGAGGGGAGGGGAGGGGAGGGGAGGGCAGGGGAGTGCAGGGGAGTGCAGGGGAGTGCAGGGGAGTGCAGGGGAGTAGTGGTAATCGTGACTGCTCTACCCAACGACTTGTGATGCAGGCAGCACGTGAAGTGTGCAGGTGAGGGGTTGGCATATTATGGACCCAAGTATGGATACCTTTTGAGGCGCCTCAGAAGCCTTTTGAGGCGCCTCAAGTATGAATGCCTGCACAGAAGAACATGTGTCACAGAAACCAAAAAAACTCTTTTGTTGCTCCCATCGACTCACTCACCACGCATCTCGCTGCTTTCCTGCGGTACTCTGCGCCCCTCTCCCCACCAATCATGGCTCCTAGGCGTGCCAGGCTGGCAGCTGCTGCTGAGCTGGCAGCGGGCTCCGCCCCGTCGTAATCCTCTTTCATGCGCAGCAGCAGCGACGGGTCGCCCTCCGCTGTGTTGAAATAGGCTCCTTGCTGCTCATCCCAGAAGAGGCGATCCTGTGAGGTGAGGCAGGAGGCAGGGACGGGCGGAGACAAGTAAGCACTCTGCCCCGTCATACGTAATCCTCTTTCTTGCGCAGCAGCAGCAACGGGTCGCCCTCCGCTGTGTTGAAACAGCCCCCCTGCTGCTCGTCCCAGAACAATTGGTCCTGTGAAGTGAGGCGGGGAGGAGTGGAGACAAACTAAAGGCTCTCTGCCTGTCGTAATCCTCTTTCATGCGCAGCAGCGGCGAGGGGTCGCCCTCCGCTGAGTTGTAACAGCCCCACTGAGTCGTAATCCTCCGCTGAGTTGTAACAGCCCCCCTGTGTCGTAATCCTCTGCTGTGATGTAACAGCCCCCCTGCTGCTCGTCCAGAAGAGCTGATCCTGTGTGGTGGGAGTGGGAGATAAGGGAGATGAGGGGGAAGGGGGAGATGAGGAGGGATGGAAGAGGAGAGATTAGTAGAGCGAGAAGAGGGTAGAAAGGAGGTAGAGGAAGAGTGACGAAGCAGGGGAAAAATCTCTTAATACCCATGTACAAACGAAAGCTAGACCATATACGCATGCCCAAGTCTTCCCCACATCATCACCCACCTGTGCCCCCCCTCAGCACCCCCACCTGCGTTTCCTGTAGCTCCATGGCCCACGCCAGCCAATCAGAATCGCCCGAGGCTTCAAACAGGTCGAGCAAGGAAGCTACCAGGAAGGCGTAGTCGTCTGCAAACCCCCACACCTCCGATGCGCTTTCCCGGAAGCTTCTCCTCAGCCGTTTGGATTCCTGGTCGTAGAGCTTAGACCGGACGAAAGTCGCCGCCCGGACGGCGCAGGCGAGGTAGACGGACGGCGGGGATCCGTCGTCGGGGAAGTAGTGGGGTGACGTGGCAGACTCTGATTGGAGGATCCGAGCTGCTCGGGCGAATGCAGATATCACAAGGCCGTTCCATGCCACTATGACCTGTCAGGGGGGAGTCATGGAGGTGCGTGCGTGCATAGGGGAGGGGAGGGGTTGGGGGGATGGGCAGGAATGACAAGAGTGGATGAAGATATCATCTGATTGACGCTTTTGATATCAAGAGGGTCAAGGAAGGAACTGAATTCATTTGATAGGCAGCATTTGAATTCATTTGAAGCACCTAACAGGCCGAATGAGGAGGGAACAAAGGAGGGGGACTATGTGCAAAGGAGGAAAAATGAAGCTGGGAGGACAAAGAATACATCTGCTTGTGATGAGTCAATTATTGAGTCGACTAAAAAATCAACTCGTCATTCAAGGAAAAGAACTATGTGAGAGGCGGCAAAAAGGAAGCCGGGAGGGAAAAGGATAGATCTTATCATCCTCCCTAGATTTGAGACGTCTCAAAATTAGCTGGAAGGGAAAAGGATACCTGCTATCATCCTCCCCAGAACACACCTTGTCATCCAGGTGGGGGCGCGGTCGCTTGCACCTGGCTTCATGCAGCAGCTTGCGGCACTCTCCCAGCATCTGAGCAGTGGGTTTGTGGATATTCATGGAACGGTGAGAACGGTGAGAATGGTGAGAACGGTGAGAACGGTGAGAACGGTGAGAACGGTGAGAACGGTGAGAACGGTGAGAACGGTGAGAACGGTGAGAATGGTGAGAACGGTGAGAATGGTGAGAATGGTGAGAACGGTGAGAATGGTGAGAATGGTGAGAATGGTGAGAATGGTGAGAATGGTGAGAACGGTGAGAACGGCGAGAACGGCGAGAACGGTGAGAACGGTGAGATGTGTGGAGACGAGTGGAACAGTGAGGTGCGGGAAGGAGGGATAAAGAAAAGAACGCAACCAACACCGCCCAAAACCAGGAAACCTCTAAAACACCCACCCCAGCAGCACAACTCACCTTCTCCGCTTCTTCCTCTGGCACTCCAACTGTCTTAGCAGCGTCAGAAAGCGAGCAGCGCTGGATCAAGCAGTTGAGCCCTGCGAACTCGTTGTGCGGGTCGGAGCGCGGAGAGAGATCGCAGTTGCCGTCCTTGCGAACCGTGTAGAGTGTGTTGAAGAGGCGAAGGCGAGGGGTGGAGGGGCCAAGGATGGACGTAATCTGCATTGATTGGGTGGGACGAGGTGGGAGAAAAGTGAGAAGTCGCAGTTGCCGTCCTTGCGGGACCGTGTAGAGTGCGGTGAAGAGACCAAGGCGAGGGGTGGCGGGGCAGGGCTGAGAGTAGATGCTATGAAGGCTGAGAGTAGATGCTATGAAGGCTGAGAGTAGATGCTATGAAGGCTGAGAGTAGATGCTATGAAGGCTGAGAGTAGATGCTATGAAGGCTGAGAGTAGATGCTATGAAGGCTGAGAGTAGATGCTATGAAGGCTGGAGGGGAGGAAGTAGGAAAGAGATTGATGTTCCCATCCATGTAGAGTGTGCTGAAGAGACGATGGGAAGGGGTGTGGCGAAAGGTGAAGAGACGATGGGAAGGGGTGGCAGGGCCAAGAATAGAAGCAATCTCCAATGATGGGAAGATGGGGAGACAGGAGAAACAACGGATGGGTAGCGGAAGGAAGGATGGATGGATGGATGGATGGATGGATGGATGGATGGATGGATGGATGGATGGATGGATGGATGGATGGATGGATGGATGGATGGATGGATGGATGGATGGATGGATGGATGGATGGATGGATGGATGGATGGATGGATGGATGGATGGATGGATGGATGGAAGGATGGATGGATGGATGGAAGGATGGATGGATGGAAGGATGGATGGACGGACGGATGGCAGGACACACACTCACACACTCACTTCTTTCTCACTCCACACGTAGAAAGCCCCTTCCTTCTTGCGCTCATCCCCAGCACTCACACTCACATTCACTCGGAGAGTGACTTTTGAGTCGACTCAAGTGTCACCAAGGTATCCCTATACTCACACTCACATTCACTCGCACACACTCACACACCCCCACCTCTTTCTCACTCCACACGTAGAACGCCCCTTCCTTCTTGCGCTCGTCCCCAACGGCCGCCAGGCTGTCAGCGTCCTCCGCACTGTAGATGCCGCCCTCCCCATGTGACATGTCCCGCCGCACATAGTCCAAAATATCCCGCCCCATGCGCGCAAAATCCTTGCGGCCGGTGACGAGGAACACGTCGAGATAGGCGTTGGCGAGCTGGCCCTGATCGTATAGCATCTTCTCAAAGTGAGGGACTGGGGAGAATGGGGAGGAAGAAGAGGGGGGAGAAGGGGGGAAAAGGAGGGGAAAGAGATAGGCGTTGGCGAGCTGGCCCTGATCGTACAACATCTTCTCAAAGTGTGGGACTGGTCGTGGGAGATGAAAAATGGGGAGATATGGGGGAGGGGAGAGAGAACGGAGTTGGCGAGCTGGCCCTGATCATATAGTATCTTCTCGAGATGGGGGTATGGGGGGAGGAGGTGGAGGAAGGGGAAGAAAGAGAAGAGTAAAAAAACAACGGGAAATAACAGGAAAGGGTGGTAAATCAGATGAATGCACGAGACGAGCTGGCCACCCTGCCCAATCGCACCTCACCATGCATCACCACGCCTCACCATGCCAGTACTCATCCACAGAGTATCGGTGAAAGCCCCCTCCCACGTGGTCATGCACGCCCCCTCTTGCCATACACTCCAAAGTATGCTCCACCATTTGTAACGGCCCCAGCCCCTTCCACCTCACCACCCTCCGCCCCGCCCCCGTATCCCCCTTCCCCCGCTCACCCCCCTCCCCCCGCAGGTGAGCCCGCAGCAACACGTTGAGTTCGGAGGGGCGGGGGAACTTGGGCGCGGACCCAAACCCCCCCAAGTCCTCATCGTATCGCGAGGCCAGCTGCTCTGAACACAGTTGAACCGCCTTCTCTGCTAGCTTCCACACCCGCTCCTCCTCTTGATCCTGCTGTTTTCCCCCCTGCTGCTGCTCTGCCGCCCCCTTCCCCCCACCCGCCCCTCCCCCTTGCATGGCCTCCTGTAGCTGTGCCATTGCGTCCTCTGCACCGCTCTGCACCTCGCTGCGCCGCTGTTCCCACACGGAGCGAACTCGCCTGGGGAGTGGGGGAGGAGGAGAACAGTGTAAGGCGAGGAAACGGGAGCAGAGAGACGGACGGGTGGAGGAGCAATCAAAGGCATGCAAAATCAGTGGAAGCGGGGTGTGGGGTGAAAGAGAACGAACATGAAAACACCCTACTGGGTGAAACGCAAAAGCACATGCTGCGTCCATCCCCCTGAGCATCAACTCCCACCCACCACACCCCACCACTTCCCACCGCCTTCATCCAAGCCAGAACCCCCCCTACCCCCACCACGCATCATTCCCACCACCACCCCCACCCAAGCACCCCTCCAATGCGCACCCAAGGAGAGACTTGAAACCGATGCGGCCGTATTTGTCGTCCGGAGGGAAGTAAGTTCCACCGAAGACGGGGTGCAGTGAGGGCGGGAGGAACACCGACATGGGCCAGTTGCCCCCCCTAGCACCACCCACCCCACCACTCCCCACCGCACTCTCCCAAGCATCCTGCCCCCTCAACCCCCGACATCTCTCACCCAAGGAGAGACTTAAAGCCGATGCGGCCGTATTTGTCGTCTGGGGGGAAGTATGTGCCACCGAAGACAGGGTGCAGCGAGGGCGTGAGGAACACCGACATGGGCCACCCTCCCCCGCCCTGTGTGGCCTGCACGTACGTCATGTAGACCTGGTGGGGTGGGAAGAAAGGGGGGAGGGGTGTGGGGGAAAGAGAGGAGGGGGACATGGGAACAGTGCATTCACAAGGACTGGGGAGGAACACGGACATGGGCCACCCTCCCCGCCCTGCGTTGCCTGCACGTATGTCATGTAGACCTGGTGGGGGGTGGGGGGGGTGGATGGTGGTGAGAGAGAAAGGGGAGAGGAGGGATTTGTGAGACATGTGGGCTTGCCAGCCCCCACCAGCCCGAAATCTGCTGGTTCACAGAAGAAGTAGCTGTCGGCTCCACCAAGGATAGGTTACAGCACGCTGCTTCCCTTAACCACGTCAGCACCCACTCGTTCCTCACCTTGTCCACGTCAGCACCCACTCGTTCCTCACCTTGTCCACGTCAGCACCCACTCGTTCCTCACCTTGTCCACGTCAGCACCCACTCGTTCCTCACCTTGTCCACGTCAGGGCGCTCCTCCCTGTCGACCTTAATGTTCACGAAGCCGTCGTTCATGACGTCCGCCACGTCATCACGCTCAAAGGACTCCACCTCCATGACGTGGCACCAGTGACACGTGGAGTACCCCACTGACAGAAAGATCAGCTTCCCCTCCTCCCGCGCCCGCGCAAACGCTTCTTCCCCCCATGGGTACCAGTCCACCTACAATATGGGGAAGGGGCAAGAGGGGGACGGGATGGGGGGACGGGATGGGGGCAAGGGGGAGCAGATCAGCATCTCACGCAGAGAGTACCCCACTGACAGGAATATCAGCTTGCCCTCCTCCCGCGCCCGTGTAAACGCCTCCTCTCCCCACGGATACCTGTCCACCTGCGGTATGGGAGAGGAGATGGGAGAGGGCAGGGAGAGGAGATAGGAGATGAAATAGGAGGTCAGTCAAAACGCCTCCTCCCACCTGCGGTATGGGAGAGGGGACAAAGGAGAAAAGAAGGAATAGCTTACAAAGGCTTCAAGGTATTAACAACTGTGCGGAACGGAGGACAACGCGCGTGGAGGGGAGCTGTGCGGAGGGGAGGATAACGTGCACGGAGGGGAGCTGTGCGGAGGGGAAGACAACGTGCGCGGAAGGGAGGGATAAATATGTACCGGGTTATGCGCATGCTGCAGCAGATACGGGCTCTGCTCCTTAGCCAGTCGATTCGTGTACTTGTGCGTCTTTCCCGCGCTCTCCCCGCCTCCCCTCTCCTCCGCCGTTCTGTCAGCTGCGCCGGGGGCCTCCCCCTTCCGCTCCGCCTGTTGTTCCGCCCCCCGATCCGCTTCCGCCATCACCCGCACGTTGCGCGGAGGCGCTTGCTCCGACGCCATCCCGCGGCGAGCGGAAGAAGCCGCGGAGGAAAGCGCGGAGGAAGTCGCGGAGCGCAGTGCGGGAAACGCAAGCGGAGATCGAGCGGACGAGCACGCGGACGAGATCGATCTGGTACCTCTGGCGCTTGCTGTGCCGTCTGCTGC